GTAATGCCGCTTATGGTGTTTCACGTCAGTGCCACATTAATACATATAAAACAAACTAAAGACTAGACTGAATGTCCTCATGTTTGGACTGCTTTGCAGCCACCATCAGTACCAGCAAAGCGGTTCTAATGTCGTTGAGAATCCTATAATTTCCTTTTGTTTATTAAGTAAGGATAACTAGAGAATCCCCGTGGATCTACCCGGAAGGATTGTATGATATCTCTTTTCTTCTTTATATTTATAACAGTTCAATATGTGGTTATGGCCGACTGACACACAGTCACACAGTTATAACGTGTAAACATAGATGAAGTGATAGAAGACTGATATAGGCAAAGCCTGTTGTCTTATTCTTTTGTCAATACTGTTCTAATATCTTCTTTAATGTTAACTTATATGTTTGTATTATATATGTATTGTCAATAAAATACTTTTGAAATTGAAAAATGAAGTGATAACGCTACCCAACAGGGATTCCACGTGACGCATGCTAACGATTGAATTTGATGCTCAACTTGACAACTGAGATTCTTATATTTTTATCATAAATATATTAATGTAGCTATCAGTTCGCTACCTACTTTAGCCAGACCAACTGTGCATGTATTTTTTGAACAACTAAACAAACAAATGCCTGTTCCTCGTTCCAATGTTGTTAAGATAATATACAATCTATATATAGATAAGACAAGGTGGTAAAATAAATCACACACAGTCCTTTTGCATCTGAAAGAAAGAAAAAAAAGCAGGCATTCACATGAGTTTGGGGAACGGGAGAGGGTACTTGTACATATAAATCAAAACATGTTCCCATTTCATCCATAAAAAAAATGTTTAATAAAGATGAGTTAGCACCATTCAATCTTCCCTATTTCTTGCACGCCCATCAGACAAATGAAAAAATCCATAAACAATTTCAAAACCTGAGATAGGAGCTGGATCAGTCATGATTTTGATTTTGAGAATTTGATAAATTTGAAGGATTGACTATGATATATATTTACCTCAATGTCGACACTGTCAATCGCTAGTGTTATTTCATGGCATCATTAGCGGTTGTTACAGGGCCATGTATCATTCAATATCGGTATATGTTTGTTATATTTAATACAATGAATATATCGACCTAAGCATTAATAATTAGTTGCCAACGTTACAACGTTACTTCATTCTATCTTTCTTATTTAGAACCGCACTTATGTCTTACAAAAGGAAAAGATATGACTCTTTAAAATGTAAAATTTCAGTGAAGTTGCATTTAAAAATGGCGCTCAAGTGGCCTTTTTATGTTTTGACACCGAAAATATGACTCTACCAATTGCATAAAAATGCATAAAAACTAAATAGTATTAAACATTTACGGTAAGATCAAAAGAAAAAAAATAGAATCAGGCAAGTACCGATGTTGTAATGTTTTAACACCTCTTCGTTCCCTGGGTTTGTTTGTGCTTACGTGACAGAAGATTTTGTACATAAATCAGTAGTGTAGTATATCTCCTTAAGTATAATGTAGGGGACGACCTTGAGTTTTGTATCCACTAAATCCAATCCTGATTGGCTTTACCTATTGGTTGTTCCTGCTTATCAATCACTTAGAAACGTGTTCTATCGATACCTAAATGACCCAGGCTCATTTCACATGAGCAATCTGAAGTAGTACACGTTTTCATTTAAAGGTAATGCGGCAATCTTTACAACTGCTTAGTAATGTGCCAAGTCAGAACAACAATTTATCGCAGCGTGTTATAAAAACACAAAAAGCTTTTCTGAATCTTGGCTCCTTGCCAGAAATGAGAAATATGCTGTTCTGACGTCACTAGATGACATAAAATTTAATTAAAATGAAATGTTTTCATATACATGTACTACTATTATATATTGGCTGGTATTATCACCAATATAAGCTAGTTTTCACTTATTTGTTATAATTATCATGCGGATGGTCACCCGCGGGTACGGAGATGGGAGTTGGACTCCTGTATCCCTTTGCAAGTACAGCGAAACGAGCTACAACCAGTTATCTTGGTATTCTATATACTTTATTAAAAGAAAAACTTAAGAAAAGTACCAATATTTTAGATGAATAGACTATCTACCAACCCCTTTTTTATCAAGAATTTACAGGATGCATTTTGATACTAGCTCCCCCCTAGAATCAGACGTCCAGTTGAACAAAATTATAAGAATTCATTTTTTCTTCTTCTAAATAATTCAACGTTTTAGAGACGAAGGACCAGTCTATTAGATAAGGTTAAAAACAGTTGTCGTTTTAGATATAGCTATATTTACCGGTTACTTGTTGTATGGACACACATTGTTTGCAAAATATAGATTTTGTGGATAAGATATGACTTTTGGTATGGTATGGAGCAAGGTCAAGAGCATGGTAACCTTTCCCGGGAAAACATTATAAATCCGTGTACTCATAAACTACACCGATAAAAGCCCACTTGTAATACTGTTTTATCCCCTACTGAGATCGACATAAGAATCAAAGATAAAAAGCTAGATTAACTTTATACGTGGTAAAAAAAACCTATCCTGAGACCCATGATAAGAAACCGTCAATTCCTCTCCCAGTATCGCAAACTAAACACCGACACAAAACTACAAGCACATGAACCGATACGACATCAAAACAAACGGGAAGCCTTATAAACCGACTCAATAACCCAGAAGTGAAACAGAATGTCACAGAAATCGACATGTCGGCCTGCAACGCAAATTGACTGTCATCATGTTTGGCTGAAAAAAGTATCGGCCAACCGCGGTCTAAGATATAGTAAACAGGTATTTTGTGGACCGCGGTCTCAGATATAGTAAACAGGTATTGTGTGTACTGCGGTCTAAGATATAGTAAACAGGTATTGTGTGTACCGCGGTCTAAGATATAGTAAACAGGTAGTGTGTGTACCACGGTCTAAGATATAGTAAACAGGTATTGTGTGTACCGCGGTGTAAGATATAGTAAACAGGTATTGTGTGTACCACGGTCTTAGACATAGTAAACAGGTATTGTGTGTACCACGGTCTAAGATATAGTAAACAGGTATTGTGTGTACCACGGTCTAAGACATAGTAAACAGGTATTGTGTGTACCACGCTCTAAGATATAGTAAACAGGTATTGTGTGTACCGCGCTCTAAGATATAGTAAACAGGTATTGTGTGTACCGCGGCTAGCTTACTTTGTCTATCGGTAAACGGATAGTACACATATAGAAACAGAGAGTATAGCAATTTTAATTTGTCTAATAAATTATCCTCAATGTTGGAATCGAAAACGAGGGCCGTATTCATAACGCTATATTAAATATCAAACAAACAACAAAACAATTTACTCCGAGACGTTGGCAATGCTTTTCTACATAATGAGGTTATCCATAATTTATTAATCATTTATTTACATTTTTATTCACTTCACATGTACAGCTGATACTTGTTGTCAGGGTGAATGCGAGCAAAAACAATACAGGCATATTAAAACATCACATGCTTTCCGGATTGTGTTTTACATCGATACCTGAATGGCTGTTAACATGTCAAGACAGGTGGACGTACGAAATGCCATTTAATTGCGGTCATAACACAGAATAAAACTGCATGTTGTTCGCCTCGAAATCCACTAGAAATTTATCATAAATTCGGTCAACTATTGGTGGTAATGAATCATACTTTATCCGGGGCTATACAATATACCCAAAGTCAACGAAAACACAGTTATTGACAGACGTGTCTCGATGGTCTTAGCCTTAACTCTGTCAGGATGTTAAGGATATTGACAATATAAATCGATCTGTCACAGATATTTGTGGTATTTACCTGTTTAAACACGTATCAAAGGAATGCTACACTGCAGTTTATCTAAAACGCTAAGCGGGGTGTTTGCCTGTCCTTAAAAACGCATTAATCATATCGATCTTTGATTCAAATATCACACAATTAGTTATTTTTTACACAAAAAATATCCACTTAAAGTGAATCACGAACTTATGTCCCCGGTAATAGGTACGGAAGGACGGAAGGGTCAGTATGCATTCATGTGAGTATTTTAAAGTAATGTGAACTATTTTTTTTATATGTTAGTGATTTAAAGTACATGTGCATTATTTTCTGGTTAAGTTCAATAACTTATATTTGGGTGGACAATAATATTGCAATCATCAACATAATGGAATGTCTCTTTAGAAATATATAGAGTTACGATTTTGAAATAGTTGAATTTTGCCAGTGAAATAACGGATTCTATCAACTTGATAAAACTGATATCTTTCACACTGTGACAAATATCAAAAGTGATATTTTTACAGTGTGAAAATATCACGATTTTTGTTCAGATTTAAATGAAGCGACGGTAGAATAAGTGGTTGTGATGGTAAATGTTTGGTACACACACTTAATTATTAACATAAATATACAATTTATAACATTTTTATAAGCAGTCATACAAGAAAATAGCAGAAAACGTCGGAATTGCGTTGAGTATCCCTTTCAAAATGGCGCGCAGCCTTGTTGTCAAGCTTGACGTCATTAGAATATGGCGCTAATTATTACGATTTTGATTCCCGCCCTTTTAAATGCGTTACATTTTTCATGTTTATGCTTAAAAATGTAATAAGATGTAAAAAAAAAATAAAGGTGTCTACAGTAATAACAAATATATTTCACTCGTGTTGCTAATATTATGATATTTTTCACTCGTGTTGCGCATATATTTGTTATTACAAAAACAGAAAAATATAAAAAATATAAATTATATAATGCGATTATGTATGCATTTATAGGGTATACCCATTGGCAGTAGAAACACAATTTTGGGTTCGTAATGACTATAATCCAACAAAATTACAAAAGGTTATCTCACATTCATAACAATGTACTTTTATCAAAACTTACAGAAAGTTTAAGAAATGCTGTTTTATAAATGTGTATTTCCATTTGTTTTTAAATTTTAACTTATGCACTGTGTAATTCTTAATAATCATTTTAACTTATTAACAGAAACATCCGACAAAGATTGAAAAAACATATGACGGAAGGCGTAAAGAAGAAATACTGACTGGAGAGAACTGACAGACGTTCAACCGAGTGAGAGAAATAATGGATGGAATTATTTTATATCCGGCAGATTTTGTTGATGAAGGAACACTGACAAGAAATGAATGAAATAAAGATAAGTTGCCTTTGTTTGATATTATTTATGCATAATATTTTGTCAAGAACTATGTCATCTTACGTTTTCCTACAGATAAAACAGGAGTCTGTCGTGGAGTAGCGGAAGTGGTTTTACAGGACGACAGGTGAGTATGTAAACAGTAAGCAGCCACAGGTAAGTACAATTTACTTACTAAGTAAGCGAGAATTCCATGGAACCACAAACAGGTAAGCTGTATAAAAATCCATCCCCAAACCCTCCTCCCAATGCCCAATGATAGGAATGTTAGGGATCATAAGCGAAAATCGATATATACATGGATCGTATTTTTAAAGAAATAATTTACTTGATTTAGCTATAACAACCACACCAACCACAACGGCAAGTACTACCGCTACCACTACAGCTCAGAGGATGACGACCAAAGGGACAACTCCTCCAATGATCGGCGACCGCCCACATGTCGGACTAAATGGTGAGTTGCTTGTCATACATATACAAAATGTAACATATACAATTTTGATTTCTTCATATGCCGTAGACAAACTCATTAGGATAAATAAAACGTTTATTTCACTTTAACATACTTAGTTAGAACTCTACATACCGTATGAGAGGTAGTCTTGATAAAACATTATACATTCATCAACATAGGAACTCCACAGAAATGGCACTGAGAAATAACTCATTTACGGGGCAAAAAAAAAAGGAGTTCGTTCACGTTTTCTGTAAGCGGTGCTTGAAATCTTTGTTATTTCGATTGGAGCGGCTGTCAAAAACAATATCATAACTGAGAAGAGTTGTTTTGCTTTAAAATGTTCACATTCCGGCTATTTTGTTGTTTGAAGATTACTAATGTGCATACACAATCTTACTCTTATAGACGTACATTAATATGTCAATGGCAAAACATATAGTATAACATATATTGCTGTAATATTATTTAGTCTCGCTTTACTTCCGCGAACATTTGTTTACGATTATTTGAATTAAATTGAAATGAACAGGATTGGATTTATAAGTGTTAAGAATATTGTTCAACATCGCCATCAGCTCCCCCCGCCCCCACCATGATGTTGCTTCCTTTGTTACTTCTGATTAGCCTGTTTCCAGAGAATAATGCTATCGGCTGGGGGATCGTGTTGATTATGACGTGTACAGTGCGACGACACTTTATGAATGCAGTCTATGGTCAGTCCTACCTGCGAAGGACATCATCGACATATGAGTAACTGTTCTGAATAGTGAAATCCTTCGGTCGTTAACATTAGGTTTCTGTTTTAGAGAATTGCGGCGAACACTCGAGTGAGGCTATTTGTTATGTGCTGCATAGTTCATGTGTGAAGGGAACCGACACGCAGTGGACATGTCAATGCATTCGAAAATATCTGCAGAAAAATTTAATGTGTGTTCCAAGTAAGTATAATATGTTCTCCAGTAACTCTAAAATTAATTTGTAGGTTTATTGTGGTTAAATTAAGAGTAACGTCTGGCCACAAAAAAAGTAGCATAAGCTGTTTTAAAGGTATGGAATTGTGCAGAATTATCTCATTTTACCTTAGCGTAACAGCGTAGCTGAATTGAGTCATTTCGGTACATATATAACAACTATTGTACATACATTTACAGCGTAGCCGAAATCGACATCGATTTTATGGACAACTCGTACCCATTTAACACCTTTGTATGCATACGCTTTATTTGTCATTTGTCTGATGAAGGTGACAGTGTACATATCGTACTAGTCATCGAAACGTCACATAGAACATTTTATTGGTTGTGTAAAAAGAACTTTTCATGACTCATTTTACCTTGTTACTTGATCATCGCAAATTTTGCAAAAGTGAAGAAAATTAAATATCATGAAATTTATTGAACAGTGATATGACCCATGTTAACATTTTCAAACCTTAACATTTCTGAAAAGCTTTAACGCGTGATTTCATTGTGAAAACCATCCTCTTTAAAATACAGTTTTAACCCGACAATACTTAAACTATTTATTGTGGAAAGATCAGCCATTAATAAATGCAAAGTATTTATATCAACAGATACACGAGACTGCACATTTTCGTTAAAATGTTTGAAAGTATTGGAAGAGGACATGCGGTCTAGCTAGTGACGTCATCATTGGTTATACAGTAAATTATAATTTAAAAGAAAATTGAAATGTCTTATGATGTACAATGCCCTTCTCCGGCCCTTCGTTATCGATTTTTACCAACTGACATTGACTTATATACACTTAATATACAAATGTGATACATTTTAGTTTTTTAATATTTTACATAAATATATTTTCAGTTCCCACTAACATACTGGAAACAAATTACGAATTTAGCATGGACTCAGATGCGTCAAGTGGCACCACAGGTATGATAGCTTCAATCAGTAATTCTTAGACGAACAATACATCTAATTGTTATATAGTAGGCATCTTTGTCTTGTGCTGAATTTTGATATAAATATATATCTGCCAGTTGAGAATGACTTATGCAAAACAGTTTGCTATTCTTTAGAAGTCTAGGAAGGCATGATGATTGTGAAGATTCAGTCTAAGAGTGTTTATAAAGCGCTCCATACAGTCAAGCTTCTTACGTACTACTGACGTCTCCCCAATGTACGACTTCAGTACATGTGTCTTAACAAACTGTCCCAGCCGAGCTTTGATAGTACTACTGAGGATTCCCTGATGTACGACTTCAGTACAGGTGTCTTTACAAACTGTCCCAGCCGAGCTTTGATAGAACTACTGAGGAGTCCCTGATGTACGACTTCAGTACAGGTGTCTTAACAAAATGTCCCAGCCAAGCATTGATAGTACCACTGAGGAGTCCCCAGTGTACGACTTCAGTACATGTGTCTTTACAAACTGTCCCAGCCGAGCTTTGATAGTACTACTGAGGAGTCCCTGATGTACGACTTCAGTACATGTGTCTCAACAAACTGTCCCAGCCGAGCATTGATAGTACTACTGAGGAGTCCCCAATGTACGACTTCAGTACAGGTGTCTTTACAAACTGTCCCAGCCGAGCTTTGATAGTACTACTGAGTAGTCCCCAATGCACGACTTCAGTACAGGTGTCTTTACAAACTATCCCAGCCGAGCTTTGATAGTACTACTGAGGAGTCCCTGATGTACTACTTCAGTACAGGTGTCTTTACAAACTGTCCCAGCCGAGCTTTGATAGTACTACTGAGGAGTCCCTGACGTACGACTTCAGTACATGCGTCTTTACAAACTGTCCCAGCCGAGCTTTGATAGTACTACTGAGGAGTCCCCATTGTACGACTTCAGTACATGTGTCTTTACAAACTGTCCCAGCCGAGCTTTGATAGTACTAATGCTGAGAGTTAAATAGACGACTTCGTTTCAAATGTCCTTACAAACTGTCCCAGCCGAGCCTTGATAGACAACTAATGAAACCCAAATGGGAATGCGTCGACTCTCTATATTACGCATTACCTGATTGTTCTAGTAGTTATCTGTCCCTGAAACACGGAATGAATATTGTGGCAACCTAAATAATGACGAGCAGACACGTTCAAGTGTCGTTATGAAACACTGATAATTGGTATAACATTTTTGGAGAAATCACAAATTCCATTATGTAAGAAATCATACACGCGGGAAAGATACAGAATTAGGAGTTCCTTGTTCAAGTTATGATATAGATTTCATTGCTTTTTAACTTAGATAAACGTATTACAAATCAGCAATAATATTTAGTATTTCTAGTTTATGTTGCAACTTTTGAAAAAGCCATCTGCACGTCAAGGTATCTATTTCCTTCTAATTATAAATGTAAATGCTCTGTCTGAATCTTTATCTTAATAGAAGAAATTATAAGTTGAAGAAAGCCCTATTAGAGAAAAGATATTTTCCAAATTTTATCATATAGTTGTATGAAAATATGAGTATTTTGTGTTTCATATTTCAGTCGGCCAAATTCATATTGTCAACGTAGACGGAATCGTAAGTCAAAGTACACCAACATTAAAGCCGGACACAGCAGATTTTAGTATCACTATCGCAGATTCGTCATCTTTTAATTTGACAAAAAACGCAAACACAATTTTCATTAATCCCTTGCACCTGACGTTGATTGTCTCGTCAATTCTATCAGACGGCTCAACAATCGTAGATTACACCGAGGTTACCGTCATTCCAGACATAGTCTCCGTTGAGACAGCAGAAATTATTCTAGCTGAAGGAACAAGACAAGGAAGTTTCGTGTCTGATATCCCAGGACTCAATAAGTACACATCCTCTGACGGTCAATCGTACGGACTGGCAGGAGTATACAGCGGATTCTTTAGTTTGGACGACCATGGTGACATCTTCTGTTCAAAAACTATTTCGTTCGACCAAATGGGCCAGGCAACTGACACTTACGCATTTATCACAGAATTACAAATTAACCGAAAAGCCCTGGCTTCAGACACACCAACACATGTCGCTAAGCTGTCACTTTTGATTGTGCGTGATAGGTTCAGTCGGGAAATTTTAGAAGACACCGTAGCGGAAAAAATTCTAGGCCGATTCGTTGGGAATTCGTCATCCAATCCGTTTGATTTCAATCTGACTGACGTTAGCACTCAGAAAAAATTCTATACGTATTTTACTTACAATACCAGTTCCGGTGCTATAGGGAAATCTTCCATACCGCTTGACTTCACAAAGCAAAATGCACGAGAATTTCAATTCGAAATCCGCATTAATTGGAAATCTCACCTAGACTATGTCAAAATACCAGGTGAAATAATGGTCAATGATGTGAACAATCATTCTCCGGTATGCGTTTTTGACAAGTCTATATTCCAGGTAATCTCGGGATCTCCATTAGGAACGTATATAGGTCTGGTAAATACAACTGACGTCGATACTGTAGGTACAGTTACATATAGTATCATCGATGACGTGTACTCCAAAGTGTTCACCATTACACCACACAGTGGTGTCCTCATAGCCAACCAAGCGATCACTGCCTCAAAGTTGGGAGACCGAATCAGTTTTACTGTTCATGCCAACGACAGCTTTGGTACAGTAGACTGCCTCATCGTTGTTGATATACTCAAGCTTAGCGATGAGAACGCTAACCTTGGCTTGACCTTCACTGGCACCTTACAAGAAGAACTGCCTCCACCTGTTCATGTCGCCAATGTCTCCGTGCAGAACTATACCAACTTCAAATTCATGACCACGAAAGACGACGAATATTTTAAACTGAATTCTACAACTGTAAGTAAACACCGACACACATACTCACTTAACAATGAAATAGGACCTTATCGATATATTATTTAGGGACACTAACATATCTAACAATCTTTAGGTTACAGCTTCTTAATCAATTGCGTTACCGAAAAATACAGGCTGTAAAGATGTCGGTAAAGTCAGGATTCATTGTATATGATCAGGATATGGACTATTATATGAACGCATTTTTTAATTGCCGCTATTTAGCACCCTTGGTAGCAGAATGTGGTGTTGTTGCTGTCGTTTGTTGACAGTGGTACTTGAACAGATGTATCTCCAGATGATATCATTATGTCATTATTTTTAAGTGTTATTCGAGATACATACGGTATTAATGCGCAACAGTTTGAAAGTATAAAGCATTTAAAAGAATAATATTTCGGTTTTACCATCATATTCCACTGTAACCAGCGTCGAATATTTAAACTTTCACTTAGATCCATTCAATGTGAGTAGTTGTTTTTGTAATGTCTAGTTTACTTGATGCTGCTATACTAGGTCTAGATTTGTTGTAGAATAAGTATAAGTTATAATAATAAAGACATACCAAAGTTATGAAATAATTTGAAAAACAAATGAGATGATCGTATTGTAACAAAATAAGAAAAGCGAATCTTTCTCTTGAATAAGTCGAAAAAACAAACACAAATTCTGCATATTTTTGTGTGTAATTTTTAAGGTAACTTTTGTGTGTGCTTTAGCCGAAATATGTATAAAAAAAAATATAAGTAAGGGTTTATTTTCGTTTTTCTGAAGTAACAAATATCAGCTCAGCATAGACATAGATAGGCATGATATGTCTTAGCTTGATTATCTAGACTGATATAAAAATATCAAATATTTATGTTGGAGTATCAACGGATGATATTTTAACATAAGTAAATAATAATTCGCAATAATTTGAACAGAGTTAAATAAAATCATGAAATTTACTTGACCTTTGGAACCAGCTCTTCCGAAGCAGCTTTTTTGCAACATCCCGTTTAGCCAGACAATTGTTTTATTTAACAAAGAAGTTACATATGCCTTCGTTGTTATTCTATATTCATCACGACATTTTAAAGCTAGCTCTGTTGACTTCGGGGATCTTGACGGTGACGTGATGCCTTCATTATGTTTTGGAAAACTATCTTTAAGTTTTTCCTCACGATCGACTCTTCTAGTTAATGCGAAACTATTTTAATGCAGCGTTGGAATTGTGTTTGTTTGCAGTAGTATGTATTAGTTATAACAGACACTTGTGCGTTGCTTAATGGGGTTGTTTTGTGTTGCTTTCTTTTTTTCATATTTATCTGTGTTAAAGCTATACCTTAAGTAGATTTAATTAATGTTCCCATTATATTAATGTTTCATAATATGTTTTAATACATGTATTTCTATTGAGTTATTTCTATTTCTAAGAGTTATTAGTTGTCGAATTACGTTATTATCATATGATATATTTAACTATTTTGACAAGTAATTAAAATTGCATATAATTGATAAATTATGTTAATATCATAAGATATATTTAACTATTTCGACAACTAATTAAAAAATCAAATACAAGAAGATGAAGGATATTGATTCACATAGAATTGAAAGTTTGTAACGTTTTCTACAGAAGATTTGACATAAGAAATATTATGTAAATGTTTATGTCTGCTACCTGTTGAGATATTTTGTGGTTAATTTTTACCTTTCAGCAAATAACATATTTGTAATGTTATTTCCATTAGACATTCAACGGAGAAAGAACATAACGTACTAATAACGCTTTCGTTGTTGCATACATACATGACTTTTATTTTTTAAAGTACATTTAACTATTTCAATATATAATATATCATATTTACTATAACTGCAAGAATAAGGAACTAAATGTATATGTGACAGTGTCAACGCAATAGGACAAAGGCATATTTCAAGGTTCATCAGAAAAGATGTGTATACTGATAAACATTCTTTTGTAATTGTTAAAAATAAAACTTATTGTTTAAAATGCTAACCTGATAATATATGGGAAATTAACTGTTTTGTATAAGGGAGAGGTGACATCTATACATACACTTGATCGAGAGAACCTACCGGACGGCTTCCGTGGCAACACTGTAACCTTTGGGATCCAGGCCAATCTAGACGACGAAGATTCATGTACAATTACGGTTTGTCTATCATTTCAGTTTGCTATGCAATTAAATTGGACATATTTTGTATATATAAAGGAATTGTAAGGTATATTGGATAGTTTTTTGTTAAATTAGGTATTGAAAAGACTAATACTTGTTTTTATTAATTGGGTATTTAAAGACTAATTTTGGCAATTTTTAATTTTATTGGAATTTTTATGTATGAACCTAAAAAACGTACCTTATTTACTACAAATTGATTATAATCACAGGATTATTAAAGTGGTCTTTGCCCATCTACGTTATAAGTAGAATTAAAAACTGTGATAAGATGTTACGATTCAAATTGAACATATTGAAATGCCATATATATCGCAATGGTGAAATATGACGTCGTTTACGACAGACGTGGCTGGGGGCCTTTCCGTTTAGCTTAATTAGTAGAGCACTGGGCTTGTTGTTATCAGTGGTCCCTGGCATGACTCCTGAAGGAAGCACTTTTTGATAGACGAACCCTTTATGAAATACGTTAACGTCATCAATATCAATTATTAGATTATTCCTTTTTGTTTCGTTGAAAAAATAATTTTTATTTAAGCATCATGCTATTATTTTTCTACAGATCATGGGTGACTTGACGATCAACGTAAAAGATATCAATGACAACTCGCCATGCTTTAAGATAACAGAAAGCAGTTGTTCATCACCTGTCACGTTTGAAGGCAAGATAACGGAAGACGTTCACGATCAGCAAGAGGTTATCTTTGTAAGTACACTGCATCAGTTTACAACAGCAAGTGCAGTTACGTGTAACGCAATAAGAGAAATATTATTACTTTGTTTTGATGCAACGTTGTTTTCAGTGTTTCTGAGAAAGACATAACTACGAGATCAATTATCCCCACAAGAGGGAGAAACATAATTCAAGTCAATAAAGACTTTTTTATGAGATGACATCCTCGATACATCTAGGGGTTACGCTCATTTACACTCTTGGCATCTCTGAAGTATATCATGGCAAAATTGAAGGCATGTAGGTAGTTATTTGATTAGCCTCAGGTAAAACAATCTGATCAATCGCTAGGTTGATACCTGTCCTCTGAGGATTGCAGAGGAGCGACACCCAACTGTAAAGCCATTCACTTATACCGTTCTGTCCACGCGAGATTCGTTTGAAGAACATCAAAGAATCAAACTAGACTTCTTTTCTCATCCACAAGATTGCGCACACCGAACTTTCAATTTTGCTATGACATATTCAAGGGGTGCAGAATGCGTAAGTGAGCGTTACTCCTAGTGTATCGCGGATGCTGAGACCAAGTGTTATAATACTCATCACATCGGATGAGTTTAGAAATTAATAAAATATTGACTTTTATTTTGTCTTTGCATGTGCGTCCAAACGGTTATAGACGAGTCCACTCTTACTCGTTAACAATGGGTAACACTCAGTCGTTATTGTATGAGAGGGCATATTTACTTATACTAGCAAATTAGATATCTGATCAGCATCCTAAATTGTAGATGTATTGTACAAAGAATATCTGAAATAATTTTTGTCAATAATTGGGCGGAGAGAAGGTTACAAATATGTTTTACAATTGATGTATCTGATTAAAGTAAAGTTCTTAGAAATTAATTTACTAATATGGCAATCACAATTAAACATTTTGAATTATTCATATCGATTTTTGTTAATGGTAGAAACATATGAATATCATATTAATTTACCTTTCTGTTAACTGTGGAATTAACAACAAAATTACATCTGGAACTTATAATGCACTTGTAGTTTTTTATTTGCTCACCTGGTTCGAAGGACCGGTGAGCTTAGTTCATGGCGTGGCGTCCACATTTACGTGAAAACGCTACTAGTCCTGAACGGCCCTTATTTTGGCTAAATTTGGTCTAGATCTTGTATAAAAAAAATCCTTCTCCTTCTGTACTATTGGAGGAAATTTATCCAAAATTGGCCTGGAGCATCCTTTGGCAAAGGGGCCTAGATTTTGTATAAACAGAGTGTGTGTCTTTTCTGGGTGCAGAATTGCGGGCCCAATAGGGGAATTCGAGGTTTAAAATTTTCAAAATCTTTCTCTTTCTGTATCATTGGAGGGATTTTATCCAAATAAAACCCGAAATATCCTTGGGCAAAGGGGACTTATTTTGTATAAACATTATGTGTTGTCCTTTAAGGTGCAGAGGGGCTAGGCTCAAAAGGTGAAATTCTAAATTCTTAATAAGGCCTTGAGCATCTTTGGGCAAAGGGGATTTATTTTGTATAAACATTGGGTGTGGCCCTTTTGGGTGCAAAGGAGCCGGGCTCAAAAACGGAATTGTGTGCTTCTCTGGGTGCAGAATTGCGGGCCCAATAGGGGAAATAGAGGTAAAACCTTTAAAATCCTTCTTCTATCGTAGGGGGTCTGAATTTGGTCTGGAGCATCCTTTTGGCAAGAGGACTCAATTTTGTATAAACGGTAGATGTGCCCCCTGGGGGCAAAGGAGTGGGGTCCGATGGGGAAATAGAGGTAAAACCTTTAAAATCCTTCTTCTACCGTAGGGATTTAAGTTTTTATCCTCATTGAGTCTTGAGCATCCGTGTGTGTGGCCTCCTGGGGTCAGCGAAATGAGACCGAATAGGGGAAAATAGAGGTAAACATTTAAAATTATTTGTCTACCGTAGGAATAATGGGATTTTATCATAATTTGGTCTGGACTTTTCTTAAGGTGGGTCAAGATGACTCATTTTTGTATAAATGGTGAGTTTGGCCTATTTGTATGTAGAAGGGCGGGGCTTAAACCGAAATTTGAGATTTAAATCTTTGAAATACTTCTCCTTCTGTACCATTGGAGGGATTTTATCTAAATTAGGCCTGGAGCATCCTTGGACAAAGGGGACTCGGTTTTGTATAAACAGAGGGTGTGGCTTCTCTGGGTGCAGAATTGCGGGCCCAATAGGGGAATTCGAGGTTTAAAATTTTCAAAATCTTTCTCTTTCTGTACTATTGGAGGGATTTTAATCAAAATTGGCCTGGAGCATCCTTGGGCAGAGAGGACTAGATTTTGTAAAACCGGGGGTATGGCTTCTCTGGGTGCAAGGTTGCGGGCCGAACAGGGGAAATTGGGGTTTAGATTTTTAAAATCTTTCTCTTTGTGAGCTATTGAAGAAATTATATCCGAACTTAACCGAGGGCATCCTGTGTCAAAGGGGACAGAATTTAATATCAATGGAGGGTGTGACCCCTTTTGGTGCAGAGGGTCGGGGCTCAAACGGGGAATTTGAGGTTTAAATCTTTAAAATCCTTCTCCTTCTGTACTATTGGAGAGATTTTATCAAAATAAGGCCAGAGTATCCTTTGGCAAGGGGGACTTATTTTGTATAAACAATGGGTGTAGCCCTCTGGGTGCAGAGGGGCCGGGCTCAAATTAGATGGTTGAGGTCCGCTGTACCTTTGGATGGTTCTCATTCAAATTTGGCCTGGAGCATGCATCCTGGGCAAAGGGCACTACATTTTGTATAAAACGGAGGGTGTGGCCCCTCTGGTAGCAGTGTTCAATAGCGTACGGTGGCCATGGGTGATATTTTTTGTTCAATGAATAACCCATTTAATATTACACGTATCAAAGTTTAAAAAACAATTCAACACTCAAATTGGAATATACATGATGAAGTGGACTATGTGTCCTTCACATTTAAAAACAAACAAAAATCGAATTTGGTTTGAGACAACATTTTTGGCCATTTACAAATCTGTGTCTACACAACAAAAGTTAGCTTTTCGTATAGTCTATTTTGTAAATATTGTGAAAAATCCAGTTGAACGACCTATGCTAAAACGTGAGTATTTCTGTTACCGAGTAGGTGATATTCAATTTAAGACAGGTTTTAAGAAAAAGAATACTACTTGCGTGTATCAAATTTTGGGTTAAAAAACATGTTTTTTTGCATTTTTGTAATGTGGAAACCATGGTTTTCACAATTCCCAAATCTGGGGAATTCACTTTTTGAAAGAGAAATGTATTCAAAATGTAGTTTGTAAATATTTATATATATGTAGGTGTGTTGTGCAGGATAAATCCGCTATCCATATTTATCAGAGACATGCCCTTTATTTTTAGGATCAAGCCATTTCTACTGTATTCTGCTACCTCTGGGTGCAGAGTTGCGGGACCCAATAGGGAAATTTGAGGTTTAAATCTTTAAAATCCTTCTTCTTTTGTACCATTGAAGGGATTTTATGTAATAAGAAAAAAATCCGATGGTTGCTTTATTATCCAGGTGAGCGATACAGACCCTCTGGGCCTCTTGTTTCGTCATCTTTGTTTTAAAAACACCTAAAATCAACATTTAAATAATTACTTTAAATTGAGACAAAGTGGGTCAGATCCACATCAATAACTCCTTGCTTTGACTTTAATCTTGGCATGAGTTAAATTATGCTGTACGCACCAATCGACGCATTAATTTATTAATTTTTCTTTTATTTGAAGACGTAAGGAATCGCAATAATGCATGTATTAAAATGGGTAGAACGGTTCCCTAATGTGACATGATTTGTGTGCTAGCTACGAAGCTGTGAAGTTGATTAAAAACACTTACCTGTCTTATCTAACACAGACTTCCAAATGGGAGATTGACAAATATGAAATTGTGTAATAATCAAATAAATGCATTTATAGTAATCTTAGTATCATCCATTATTTAGATGAATAAAATAGACATGCAATGCAAATGTAAACCAAAATCCTCTAAACGTTTGTAGGAAAATCCTTCGAATTTAGAATTCTTTGATCCAGATGAGATCGGTAATTTGACAGTGGAACTCACTCCAGATCTTCACTACTTCACGTACGAGATAATAAACAATGTTATAAAAATTCTCACCAAAACTGGTGTCGTTCTTGACCGGGAGAAGATAGGACATTTTAGTATGAAACTTTACGTGAAGGATGGTGGGAGCCACACAGCTACTGCCACTTTGATGATAACGGTGGTTGATGTGAACGATAATCCGCCAGTATTTACAGAACAGTCATACACATATAGCATCCCAGAGAATACAACTGTTGGAGAAGAAGTTGGAGTTGTTAATGCAACCGATCAGGACACAGGACTGAACGCAGAAATTAGTTATTCAATTATCAGCAGCTATTTTAGCGTCAATGAGAAAACAGGCAAAATTACGACAAAGAAAAAACTTGACCGGGAATCGATCGCTAGTTACAATATACAACTACTGGCTAGAGACAATGGTCAGCCCAGCTTAACAACACAAACGACAGTGTATATACAGATAATTGATGTGAATGATAACGATCCAACGTTTTCCCAACACGAATACAGATTCACAATAGAAGAAAATAATGACTGTAATGTTTCTCTTGGTTCAGTTAATGCAACAGACGATGATATCGGCAACAATAGTGCAATCAGATTCACAGTTTCTGACTCGCAGGATTTCAGAATAAACGAAAAAGGTGAAATATTCTGCAGACATAGTCTAGACTACGAATCGAATCGGGATCCGAGTTTCGTCGTTACAGCAACCGATGGTGGTATTCCAAGTAGAAGTTCCACTACCCACATAGTGATAGAAGTACGTGACAAAAACGACAATCCACCGAAGTTTACACATAACGTCACGATTGTTAACGTTACACACATGGACTTTATGGAACACTCGCGAAGACTTATTGCATTGCTTGAGGTGACAGACAGGGATACGGGTGACAACGGACGATTCCATTTTGAGATTTGCAAGGCATACAACGAGTCGTTTACGGTAGCTGATAGTGGTGCGGTGTCCACAACAACAAAACAACCTGATGCATCGCAAATTCCAAATTGTGCTGTAACGGCAACAGATTACGGACGAGAGCCAATGTCCTCCACTGCATGGATCGAATTCTACGTCGACAGTTCTAGCGACATTGGTGCATCGGGAGTAACCTTCAATAGTAGTGAGTTAGTCCTTCATGTCGAGGAGGTATATTCTGAATCAAGAGATATCGGCAGACTACAAATTCAAAACAATAAGACAGATAATGTCACGTTTAAGATGATTTCGTCATTGGATGGCACATTCAATAACAATACCTTGACCATGAGCGGAAATAACGGATCATTTTGTCTTGATCCTAGAAGTGGAATTGTCAGGAAGAGTGGGGTCTTCGATAGAGAAACAAAGGATACGTATAGATTTTTAGCCCGGGTTAACGAAGCGAACGCTCAGGATTTGACACTGGTAAATATACGTTTATGTTATTCGGTTTTATGTTGGAAATGTATAAATGAGGGGAAAAGTCTTTATTTAAAGATGAATTGTGAAATGTTTTAGAAGACCTACATCAAAAGGTTGGATTTGATTAAAATTATGATAATCATACCCTAAATCTCGATACTAAACCTGATATAAAATATGCTGGGTTTAGAAATAAGCTTCGTACTCCTTGCAGTCAATAATATCTGGAAAGTTGACCACCTCGCCAATAGGCCGACATTCACATTTATGTCTTTCCAATATATGGGACCTTGCATATGAAAAAAAAATGAAAATGAAAATAAATAAAAAATTCTTGCTATGTAATGAGCACAATTACGCAAACTTTTGAGAGTGAATTATTTAAATGTTATAAGCAATATGCAATTATCGTCCGGACCATTTATAGGCTTCGAAAGTATTCAACGCATGTCTTACAATATTAATGTCTTCGAAAATATGACAGGCTTAAAAATAGGCTGGTTTCGAGTGTAAGCCTGGGATTCCTTACCAAGCACGAAAATAAGCCGAGGTTCATTTTGGAGGTTTTAGGATATGATATACAATATTTGCCCAAAATAAAAGATGAGGAATGTCATATAGTGATTAACATGACTTTATGCACCCGAGAAATTAAAGTACTTCATAGCTGAATTGTAAAAGACAATACGAATATAATGATGCCGTCCTGATAAACATGCCATAATCACCAGAAACAAAGAAAACGTTAGGAAGGTAACCAGAAATATGAGGTCATTGTAATTAGAATGAGCTTAGATAATTCGGTTTGGTCGTTGATTTAAAGGATTAAAATACGTTTGTCAAATCAAACTTTGTTTACATAAAAAGGGCTTGTGTGAACGTTCTGAGGTTGCTTATATCCAGGCCATCATCATTGATTTTTTAAATTGATACAACTTCATAATGATTATAAAATAAATAGATCTCATATTTTATATAAATAACAGATGTATATAGATATATATCAAGATATTTTAATAAGGCATTTTGAAATACATGTAGAATGAAATGCTATAAGAAAATCAACTTTAAACCAAACATTTCGGTAGATATGATTATGTTTATATCACAGGTTACTATCAATGTGACAGATGTTAATGAGCGCCCACGATTTGTGACCACGTTAAAACAATTAGGAGTCAAAGAAGATGTCATAAACACCGCCATATTTACTTCCGAATTAGCAGAGGACGACGACCTCGGTGATAATGGGACTATGATCTTCAATCTGACGAAGCAAGAGCCAATGTCAGGTAAAAGTATATTAAATTTTGCGTTTTTGTTTTTGTGTTTTGTTTAATGTTGTTTTCGAATAAAAAAAATAAAAAAATTGTTAGGCGTTTTTTTGTAAACGTTTTGAAAAAAACTTATTCATACTCTCTTGCAAAATGATGAGGTTGGCACAATTTTCCGTTGTTATGTAAATAAGTAATTTTATGAATATAATAGCATATCCACATTATAATCTACCTCGTTTTATGCCCGGATGTTACCAAACTGCATATATAACTTAGTGTGGCTTTTCAATTGTTTTAATACAACGAATACACAAAAATATTACTAGGAAATGTTTTATGCTTTTTTTTACATCACAGATAATCAGTTTAATTTTGATGTGAATACAACCAATGGTACCATATCAGTGGTGCGAACTCTTGACTACGAAACTGTGAAGCAATATAACATCACAGTTGAGGTTTGTCTGTTGTTTATATTAGTGGCTAATAACACAAATAATAGAAACGCATAATCCCGTAGTTCATCATAATGCTACGAAATTTAAAACGGATATAACATATTAAGACAATACAACTCGCTTTGTAAATCAATTATCTATCTATCATGGACTTCGTTGTGAATGTGACGTCAAAATATCAAAAACAGATTTCAGTTGTCCTTTCAAATATATATTTATTACATATAATGTTCTATTCCAGGTACGGGACATGGGGACACCATACTCGCTTTCAGCAACGCGAGTATTTGAAGTTGTGGTGAACAATGTCAATGACAACCCACCTACTTTCCTGAACACGAGCAATGATAACGGACTATGTTCATATAAAATAGACGTCAACGAGAACATATCACTTGATAGTGTAGTAAGTTTAATGTGTTTTGGTTTTATCGCTTATCTAGCTGATGGAAACACGACGATATGTTGCTTTTGGTCAAATAACTAATAGATTTTCTACCGATATATTTTCTGTTGATGTTTTAAAAGTAAAAACTGCTTTCGTTATCACTAAATCTGCGACTTATTCATGAAGACGCTCTCATTCTCAAGAATCCCATCAATTGATAAAATCATGTGACACGTTCAAAAATTAAGTCAAGACATTGAACAAAAAATTGGGCTTGAGCAAATGATCTGTGTTTGAGCATGAGAACACTTTCATGAATATGGGCCCTAGTCTTAATGTCTACCTATTGTATGGACAATCGACTAACGGTCGAATTATTAAGTTTAGAGGGTGATGTGCAAATACAATTGATTATGGTATTAGTCCTTTGTGCTTGAATGTGAAATTATTGGGGAATGGCTTAGTAGGGTGTCGATTGTGGGATGAGGGGTGGAAAGAGAGAGGGGGACTGTTGGAAGAGGTATTAGTTTGGTCGATATTCACATCATGTCTGTGCCTCTGTCTAAACAGTTTGTGTGTCCGGACTAGGACATCACTTTTATATGCAATTCCGTGTTCACATTTTACCACGGGACCCTGTATGACCAGCAACGCATTGATATCCCCGAGTAAAAGGTCGTTACCATTATAAATTGCACTTGAACAACCATTTCTTGGGTCATCAGATTTTTATCTTGGCTATGATAATTGGAACATGTTTTAGGCGATGTTTCGAATACCATGCTCAAGATATTATCAAATATGAACGTGACATAGGCACATGTGATAAACGTAAATCAAACGCTGATCGTCACAGTGATTGCCTAAATGTTCTATAATATTTGATAATAAAATACAGATGGGATGCTTGCGGTAGGACAATGTGCTTGTGAAGGGAACTGTATGAGTGAAAAATAAAACGCTTACCCTTCTGGAACACATGGCCGTTTTCTCCTTGTACTTTTTCGATGGTCTCCGTGTAAATCTCTTCTTTGTTCATATTTGCTCTACTTTTTATCGATTTGAGTTCGAATTATGGTTTTGTTAAAACTTTGGTGCTGTCTTTTTTTGGCAACATTTCAGTATGTTTGCTAGGATTGTTACTTTTGCCATTTATTATTTAATAGTTCTACCCATCCATGCATCTGTTCTAAATGTCGTTGATTGTTCTTTAGGTTCTTGACTTCGCAATAGCTGATATCGATGGAATCGAAATGTTCCAAAGGAGCATTCTGTCTGTGATTGACCAAGATGGCTGTCCTCTGAAGCCAGGTAGTATACATGTTTAAACCTGTAAGGTATTCAGTGTACACAGTAAAATACGTTTAAAACCTGCATATTAAAAAAGAAAATGATTGCTAATCGGAAAACATTGTCAAGACGTCTGGTTCTAAACGTTCAAATTCTGCTCACAACCTGAATGACGAGTGAGCGCCAAATGTTTATTTGGTATATTATAAACATGTATGAACATTTTAAACGAAATGAGTATTGCATAAAAACGTTTAAACCACCTAAAAAATGAAATTGAAAATGAAAAGATCATTAAATTATGCAGAATTTGATGGTTTTCATTGTATTGTTTTAACACTTGAATAAGGTTAATGTTTAGTTATACATTTTTGAAAATACCAGAGTGACACCTTTTCTAACCTACATGTTTCAGAGTAATTTTATTGTACCCATTGTTATAAGGCAAATGTTGTACTGTATTTCATATCGGCAAAAATGTAGAAAGATAGCTTGATATAGTTTGTTAGATCACATTCCACAGTTTATCGATGCTGATATCGATATATACCTCGCACTGATGTATTAAGAAAATAAATGGATTCAATAAACTAATCATACGCCGGTTAAACTAAAATAGTAATCAGGGCTTCACTAAACATTATTCCGTCTTATCTTCTCCTGTGAACATGTATTGATTGTTACGTCATTGGTTTGTGTGAGAAAATTGCGTCGTTTTCTCAAAAATTGATGACGTTACTCTCACAAACAAATGTTGTAACAATCAAAACCTGCTCACAAGAGAAGATAACTCTGCAATACGCAAAGACGGAATATGTTTGGAAACATTCTGATACAGGTTCATAACGCACAACCAGATGACTGGAATGATATCTACTCTGTCAAAATCATCAGACTAATGACCGGTGAAACGAAGCACACTGGGGTGTTAAACATATTGCTTAACATGTACGGAGTGTAACGATTTAATAAGCAATCGATTCTGCTACACCTTTTTTTGTACCAGGTAAAACTTGTGCAAGTGTGTATGACCCCCTCATTTCGATTCAGAACTGGAACCTTTAAACAGCTAAGAGTACATACGACCTAATCGTGCCCTAATCTACTTGTCAATTTGATTGTCATCTATTCACAAATTAAATATCAGTATACTAATTCTGTTGTTTTGATTATGATTACCCGCAGTTTCGCATACTTTCCCGGATATGTCTCTTTTGAGTAATGCTACCCTCGACTATGAATCCCAGACGAGCCATGTGTGTGTCATAAAGGTGACCAATACCGCGCCTCCACATCTCTTCAACAACTGTTCTGTACATATCGTTGTCCAGGATGTCAATGACAACTTTCCTCAAACGCACGGACCCTACACTGTCAACGTCACGAATGGCAAAATTAATGACGTCATTCTAGTCATTAAAGCTACGGACGCAGACAGTGGTGAAAATAGTCGACTTGTGTATAGTTACAACGAGGAAACAGGTATTGCATTACATTGTTTTTGTTTATACTCGGCTTTACTTCAATTTTTAAAAGAAGCGGTCGTCCTGTGAAACATTTTACCAGGAAAACACCCACCGAAACAGTCGTTAGTCCTAAGTTATCTGACAATTTTACAAAAAAGTACAAATTTCTAGATTTAGAACATCGTGATGGGCGTTATACATAAAGAACAAACGTTGTTCCTGCAGCAATACACTAATTTACTTACGTTTTTGTTAAATACCGGAGTGCCTTTTTTTTTTTAACTTTTTTTCCAAGAAATTCCAAATCCTGTGACTGTGTCTTGTGTATATCATGTTCATCTTTATATCGTTTAAAATTTTATCATTAACAGAACAACATTAAACAAAAATTAAAAACAGACGATAAATTGATAAATATAATGCTGAAACTTGTTCTATTAAGACAAGGATATTAAGTAAGATAACAGGATAAATAACATTAACTTGCATTTTAATTTCTCGGTGACCTGATTAAATCACTTGATTTTTAATGTTTTTCAGATTCGACGGCCTTTTTTGGAATCAATCCATCTAAAGGAAGCATCACAATAGTCAAGGATCTCTTCCAATTTACGTCGGCCGAAGCAAAGCTGAACGTTAAAGTTTCTGACAGGGGCAATCCGCCTAATTCAAATATTACTCAGGTATGTAGGCGTCGTAAATACTTAGTCGGAATATTTATCTCGTGCATGGGGCTCCTTTGCTGATATCATTTGACTTTTTGATTTAATGATTCAATAATATATGCAAAAGCGGAGATAAAACTGAAGTAATTTCCGATTTTGGAAGAACGGTACTCCTGTCTATCTCAGTCATTCAGACATCATTTTACCTGGAAAAAACCCCATAGTGCAAATCGCAATGCATTTCCATTTAAAGGAGAACGTTGTAAAGTATTTTGACGTCATTTTACAGCCAATAAAAGTCATCATGTCCAGCCTGAATGGTACATGTGTTGAAAGGCTTTATCGGTATGCCCCAGTTCGATGTTTTTTATTCTAATGACGCCTCGTTGTTGACAGGGTCAATTATTATCTGCACCGAATGACATTTCGGCTATATTTTGTATTTAATACGCGTGGTTTTATTCGTTATGTTTTATTTGAGGTAATCCTTATATGCATCAACATCCTTGCTGCAATTTCCTGTCATCGTAACAATAAGAATAGTTTATGATTTTAGAGTAAATTACAAGGGTGGTGGTGAAACACATACACATCATGGTAGGCATCACTATCACTGCTTTTTCACATGGTTGGGGGTAGTGAAACACATACACATCATGCAAGATATCATTCTCATAGCTGTGTATTTCACGGTTCTGGGGGTAGTGAAACACATACACACCACATACTTCTAAACATTTTCTGCAGGTTGGTAAGTATGGATTATGAGAAGTTCTTTTTACACAACCAATACAATTTTCTATGTGACGTTTCGATGACTAGTACGATATGTACACTGTCACCTTCATCAGACAAATGACCAATGAAGCGTATGCACACGAAGGTGTAAAATCTGACGAGTTGTCCATAAAATCGATGTCGATTTCGGCTACGCTGGAAACGTATGTACAATAGTTGTTATATATGTACCGAAATGACTCAATTCAGCTACGCTTTGTTAACACTTGGTCATAGATGTGCGAGAGGTCGAGTGGTTATCCCGTATATAAAGGGTATATCCGAAACCATCCAGAGGATATATTGCGGTCATGGCTTAGCAACAGCCATGAAGCCCCACAAGACGCTTCGTAATATCATAGTACACCCAAAGGATAAAACACCTAAAGAAAACGTCTCAGAATGCGTATACAAAAGAGGATGCAAAAATTGCGACGCGTCGTATATTGAAAGACTTTAAGTCGAGTTGGGGTCCGCCTTGGTGAACACCGGAAAGATACAGAAACCCAAGAAGGTAGGCAATTCACCAGATCTGAAAAAAAAACAATCGGAGTCCGAGATATATAAATCGGCAATCACAGACCATGCCACACAGAAAAACCGTGTGATTGACTGGGATAACTCCAAAGGTTTGGACAGAGAGAGCAATCTGTTCAAGCGGCAGATAAAGGAAGCCATCTGGATACGCCGCAGTGGGCCAGTACTAAATCGATACTAGGGGGCTCAAAGACTCTCGCACATCTATGACCAAGTTTTAATAAAGCGTAGCTGAATTGAGTCATTTTGGTACATATATAACAACTATTGTTCATACGTTTCCACCGTAGCCGAAATCGCCATCGATTTTATGGACAACTCGTACACATTTTACATCTTTGTGTGCATACGCTTCATTGGTCATTTGTCTGATGAAAGTGACAGTGTACATATCGTACTAAGTCATCGAAACGTCACATAGAAATTTGTATTGGTTGTGTAAAAAGAACTTCTCATAATACTTACATATCACGATAGACATGACTCCCACTGCAGTTTATCACATAGATTTTGTGAATTTAAACAAACACTCGTTATGGAAATTGACGCTTATTACATAGATTGGGAGAAATAAAACTCGCATTATGGTAAAACCTTTGGACTGGTGTATATAACACACGATAGGGATTGGGGTTGTGAAATAAGCACGTTTTAGTAAGAACGGGGAACAGCAGTATAGTTATGACATATATTTGTACTCATATAATGGTTTTCAGGTTGTTATCAACATCATAAGTAACAACACAGAGCCCTGGTTTCAAGGGCCATCAAAGTGTAGCGGCAAAACCAACCCCCAACCCAACTACTCATGTAAAATACAGGAAGTTGATGGTCAAACTGATCCAAGTAAGTAGCCAGTATATTGTGCAATCCATTCAGTTTTTGCACTTCGAAGAGGAACTACATTAAATTTGGTAAATATCCTCACACAAATCTAACCTAACCCCTATACATATTTTCTTTGTATTTGGTTGGTTGTTGAAATATCCAGTCATTTTGATAACCAAATTCGCTACGCTCGTCTAGAAATAATAAACAAACGTACCGAAGTTAAATTTGACATCCATTATAAGTGTTAATACGACATTTGAACGATTTTGCATATTGATTATAATTTCAAAAGCTTAGAACCTTAAAGCAGGGAAAACAGAAGAAAAATTTATGAATAGGAACTTCGAAAGTTATGAAGTTGAAATGGCATTACTGAATACCGAGAAAAACTCGTTTATCTGGACTTTCTATGAATCCGTCAATTTTAATTCAGGAACAGAGCAACTTTTTACGAACTCTCATTATTTGAAAAATGTTCCTTAACCAAGCAAATCATTAGAAACGCATATATGATGTTAAGGTAATATTCCTTAACTCTAGTTTTCATTCAAAGAAACCCTAAGTGAATGAATTCTCTTTAGTTAAGGACTGTTTGTGAAAATGGGCCATGAAATGTCTTTCAGAGACATTATATGTTTATAGTTATACCTACACAGGTAGCTTTTCTCTCAATCACCTACTAAACAGAAGTGATTTGTACCTAAATCCGAAAACCCTTAATTCATTTGAGTAATCAGAAAGTCCAGGAAAAGATATTTTATTTATGAGGAATGTATATTTGATATATTCATGGATTTTCATTTTTGTGTGTGTGGTGGTTTGTTGGGAAGATTATGATTCCTTCTAATAATTTGGGTCTGTCTTCAGTTCTTACTGTCTTGTTTTACCAACATTGAATTTCTAGTTTATCCTTGTGTATTGCTACTGTCTATTACGCCTATGACACTACAATCAAACCGAATTAACATCTACTGATAACACACCCAGCAGAAGTGTCCACCATCATCATTGTGTTTTCTTAGGATGACATATGTACATTTGGTAACTGCTAAATTTTTCAGGTAAAAATGGAAGTAACATCCATTAGTATTACTTTGTATCATTAAAAATCCTCTATTTGTTTTTAATAGTATAACTGTTTTCTTGATACATATATGATATCAATAAACGATATGTCTCAACATGATAAATATGCAATTAAATAAATATTTTATAATTTGACTTCTTTTTTATAAAAAAAATAAATGATAATCATTAATGTTATGTCGTTAAATTATGTATACCGGTTATATATTTCAGATATGAATGAAGCTGTGAGTAATGAACTTCTACATGTCACAGCTTGTGACAAAGATGATGGGAAATTTGTCAAGTGTAACTGTTCATACGAATTTGTCGAAGGCGCACACGGTAATTACATACTGAAGTGTCGTAACATCACAATGATGCTATTGTAGTCTCCATTCCGTTGATTTATAAAGCAATATTTTGATCTTGATTGACATAGGTAAGATCATGGAAATACATTCCTCTTATTCAACATTGTTCGACTATATAGGTTTATAGGTTATAATTGTTCCCTGTTTTACACTATAAACACTGGCGTTGTTAAAAAATTACACGAAAGATACATATTTAAAGAAATAAAAAATGATTTATCAGATTTTGATAATATCTACTTTCAATTTAATGCAAAATATGTATCGAGTATTTTATTTTTCCAGATTATTTTGACATTAACAAAAGTACTGGCATGGTAAGGCAAACAAAGCCGGTTGATAGAGAGGTAACTCCGTATTTCCTGTTGAATATATCTGCCACGGACCATGGTTATCCTCCACGACAGTCAAGGATAAATGCGGTACTTAACATATCTGTCGTTGACCTAGACGACAACCCGCCACGTTTTAAGAAAGAGCTCTTTCTATTTAACGTATCAAATGTAAGAATCATTGTAATGATGTTCTATTATTTTTGTAAACAAATTAATCATGCTGTCATACTTATTTTCCCGTAGTTTTAATTTTTGCTCGTTGATAGATTTCCTCAAATTACAGCGGCAGAATTATCGTTTGTAGAAATAAGTATATAGGAGCTCATTATAATACATAAAATAATACCAGATGTGCATGATAACAGTGACCACTGAATACATAGCTTAGATACTCGATAATTTACAATTCCCTTCGCAGAAAGTGATGTTGTCAATTGGTTTATTTTTATTTTATTCATGTTTGTTTTTATATTTATTTATTTATTTATTTGTTATTGGATTAAAGCATTTGCATTGTGTATTGAAAACAACGTATTAACAAAGTTATGTCTGATTTTTACCCGTTTTTATAGTTACAGAATTGCTCTGTCGAAGATCTGTTTGGACCCGTCCGCGCCACAGATTCGGATTATGGAATCAACGCCACAGCCACCTACACCGTGTCAGATTACGAGCATGCTCCCTTTATATATAATGACACCTCGGGCTATTTCAAGGTTTCCAAATCTCTAACAAACCTGACCGGCCAGACATTCATTGTAAGTTCACACGGTATATACTGTATGTATACAAATAATATTATTTTCGAGATAACATAAAAACGCGAATTCACGGAGTAGAGAGCTAGTGGTTAGGGATTGGTAGGTATGTAGTTTGTAACCTGATTAGGACAGTGGTGTTCTTGAATTTATCTTAACGTTGAAATCATGAAGATATATTAGTGATGTAACGGTAACCGTACACATGTAACTTTAGCATGACCATTTCCCCAGGTTCATTTTAATGGGGTTATCATACACTATTAAATGGTACTTTCAACTTTCATATCATATCAAACTATTATATCGTTTTGTATTTATCTACAATCAAATAACGCATTGAATTGTTGTTTTCTTATTTAAGTTATATTAATCTTGATTTAGATTTTTCAAATGCAATTCATTCGCAGTTTTAACAAAATTTTGTCTTTAGAATTGTGGTTTTAATACATTTTACTAAATTAATTTTACTAAGATTATATGTCCATGACTTTAAACTTTAAAATTATTTTAAACTTTGTTCAAACGCCTTTTCGAGTTTTTTCAATTTCTATAAAGAACAAAGAATAGTTTGAGAATATATATATTTTAGAGATGTCAACTTTTCTTATGATATAAGAGGATTAATGGTTTTTGAAAGATGATACAATAATCAATCAATTATAACGTATGCAATGTGTTTCATCACCACAGATGTTTTTACAAGCGACAGGTGTAACTACAAAGTCGTTTACTGATAAAACCTTTGTGCAATTCAAAATCTATTATGAAGACCCGAACAAATCATCGCCAACATTTAATCAAAGTAAGTCGAATATAACTTCTGGGGAAAACAACAACCTATATTTAATTGATCTAAAAAAATCGCTTATTTTTAAATCAAATGTAGAAATGTTAATGTGTTCATAAAATTATCTATCTGATGGTGATCATTTTGAATCCAACCATATATGTTTATATCAATTATGAAATAGTCGTTACAAAATTTTGTTTTAAGTATGCTATATATAGATTGATAGACCAGAGGTCGTATTCAATCGTTTTGGTCATAACATTTCTTATTTTTATGATAAAAGTTAAGAAAAATATGCATTTGATTTGCAGCTGAACGAATAGATATTATTCATCGATGGAAAAACATAAAAACACTGTAATGGCAAAAAATATCGCACTTTCCAAATTGACTTATTTCAGATTCAGACGTCATTTTCTATTTTTTTTTATTAAAGGTAAGCTTACGATCCCTAAAAAAGGAATTTCTTTTCGGTGTTTTGCAATATCAGATTATATTAGGTTAGAGTAATAAACAAAAATATAAAGATGTTTCGCTAGTACCTCAATGACATGTTTTAATCGCATAAAGATATGCTTGTGTTGAGTAAACCTTTGCTGTAACCTCATTTTGCAGGTATTTACAGTGTCACAATCCCATTCAGCACGACAACACCTTATATGATCGGACAATACATGGCCGTGGATACAGACGAAGACAGATATGGTGAAATTAAATATCACTTAGAAAGCAACAATTGGGTAAGGCTTACTTTTCCCCGTTCTAATTTAAAACTAATATTCCAATGGTTCATCAAAGCCAACGGCAATAGTATTGTGCCGGCTGCTAAATGAAACTACGACAGATTCATTACAGAATTAAGAAGGGATCTAAAGCCCGGTGTTTTACTTTTGTGTTTGTTTTGCATGGCTAAAAGCTATGGAGTAGCTACTAGGCGTGTTGCGAGGTTGTAGAATTCAGAAGGGATCACTAACTTTAAAATAGAAAATTGATAAATATAGATTTCTGAACTAATGCCAAAGAGAATATTTCCACATTGTGGTCAGGGTAAAGAGTCATAACGTGAACGCGGCCAAAGGCGAGAATTTTCCTCTTTTAGAATATCTATGATGTATGATAGTTGAACTTATGAGGGATTTCTAGAGTGTTGTGTTGTAGAGCTTAGCAGTTAGGCTAGCAGTATGGTGCTTGTTGTTGTTGATCTAAGGAGGAACAAGTGGTGTGTTGCAATCGTAGGTGTTGTTGCAATTGTGAAACGGGAAAACTACGGAAATGTTGTTATGTGTTGTAGTATAACTAAAGAAGGATAGCTTGTTTACTGTGTTGCAGAATAAAAGAGTGACAAGTAGTCTGTTGTTGTTGATTTAAAGATGAACATATGCTACATTTAAATGTATGCTGTTGTAGATAGGAGAAGGAGCTCCTGTTAGCATGTGTTGTTGTAAAACGTAAGAAGGATGAATAGTATTGTAAGTCTAAACAGGGACTAGTAGTATATTGTAAGTTGTAAATCTAAGGAGTTATAAACAGTGTGTTATTTTCAAATATGTTGTTGTGGAACGAAGGAGTATTAGTGTGATGTGCTGTTTTAGTAAGGACGTTTACTATGTTTCTAATTATTTTCATCAAGTTGGCGTTTCTCTGTCACTCTCATCAGACAAATGATGTCTGATGAATGTGACAGAGTACATACCGTACTGCTCATCAAAACGTCACATATAAACACTTATTGGTTGTGCTACTTGAATCTTTTCACAAGCGATTACCGTGCGTTTTGTTGTAGAATTAAGAAGGGAATTCTAGTGCATTGGATTGTAAAACCAAGGAGGTTATACTAATGCGTTATATGGTGTGTGGTATAGCTAGAGGGACCAGTGGTAGCATCACTATTGTTTGTTGATTGTCATAAATCTATAACAGGTCCTTTTCAACAGAACAGAATAACTCGCTGTCCTCTACACTAGCGTCCGTTGCAAGTGGCACTATTTGTATATGCTCAATTGTGTATTTAGTCATCGTTGTATTCTCCAAGATTATTCTCCAAAATGCACTAACGCGCATCAAGGAATGTGTTTAACCTGTGTTCCATACCCTCATAAATGTTAAAAAGATCCATTTCAAACCTTAATTGTTACAGAAATAAAAATGATGTGTTTTGTTGCAGGAAACGTTTGTAGTTGATAGTAAGAGCGGCAAGATTTCACTTCAATATAACGTTACTGATGCGATCCCTTACTATGTCAAAATCGTCAATTTAACGTTATGGGCAACAGATGGCGGCAATCCACCTAAGTCCGGGTAAGTATAGCTGAAATGTATTCATACGATTTACCTGAAATAATAGTTTAAGAATAGATTATTTGGTGTAGCCGATATACATAATTTTCTTATCGTTGTAAAGACTTTTTAGGCTACTTTTAAATTCGCTGTACTCTACGTATTTTGGACACTTTAGACATGTGTTTCATTCCGTTGACCTTAGTACCATTGTGGAGTGTTAAGTAGACGACACATTGCTCACTATGGGCGTTAAAACATAGGAAACCTTTAACTTATATTAGTTTGCTGTAATTTTAGAAGGAATAGTATTGGTTAATTTAAATTCTTTCTGAGCGTAAAAACCACAGGAAACCTTTAACTTATATGATTATGCTGAAATGTTAAAAGTAATAGTATCGGTAAATATAAACTATTTCTGGGCGTAAAACTAAAGGGAGCCTTTAGCTTATATAATTATGCTGGTGAAAAGATATAGTATTTGTTAACTAAAAGTCTTTCTTGGCGAAAAAACATAGATATCAATTAATTCATTATTCATTGCTAGTATCCTTCATAAAACGTGTCTAGATTAAACCATTGTGCATTTTTATCATTATTCAGATAACTTCAGACAGAAAACTATTGAAATAAACTATGATTAATGAGTATCGGACAATTTGTTAACAGTTCTTTCTCGCCACGAATATAAGTAATTATATATCATACCTTAGATCCATTGTTATCTCACCTGTATTATTACCAATAGGTACAAGTGATATTTTTGTAAATCATACCTCTTATTTTCAGGTCTTGTTTAATCACTATAATTCTGACGGGCTATAAAAATGAGGAGTGTTCCAGTGGGAACAATAAACCTGAAGCTACTAAACAAAACAAGGATAGCCAATACGAAACTCCGCTGTATGCAGTTATAGGCGTCGCTGTTGGTCTATTGCTTCTGCTCGTCGTTGGCTTCCTAGTCATGTTCTCAAGGTAAGATATGAGCAGGTACAATTGGAAACACGTGCTTTAATTGGCCATATCATTTTTTCTTATTATCTTATATCTGTGAATGTTTTAATGGCTGTACTCCATATGTTTATTTGTGATAAAATACACCTTTTATATAGGACCCAATGTCCTTCGTTTTGGTGTGTAAAACCTCTACATATTTCCCTCTTGTATTCATTAAGCCTTCGTATCAAGCCCCAATGATATACCATAAACCTTCAATATAATGTCCCATGGGTATATACAGTGTAATAGCGAAAGAACGAATGTTCCACATTTTTGAACACGACATCGTCAATATAAAATCCTTGGTGTTTGTACAAAAGGACCTCGATATAACACCCATAACTCCATTGACCTCGCTTCCGCTATATATCCCCTGATACAAATACATGGATTGCGATTGAAATAATAAGAATTCATATAAAAAGAGAATGTTTTAGAATATACTGAAATAAGAAGACAATGAATTCTGAGTTCCAGCGACAGCTATCAGAAGATGTATATATTGTTCCACAACTAATTTATCTCGTTAATTCATTTATTCCACAGAAATCGAGTAGTTCTCAATAAATACCAAATGACCAGGCAACGATTGTCAACAGTACAAGACCCGTATGATTTAAAGAATGAAAGTTATCAGCGACTCAGTAAGCAGGTAAGTACAGCATAGATTCCCATAAAAAGTTAATATATAAATACATATGTCAAAGGTCAAATTAGACTAGACCGTCCTTACTAGGTCCACAAATGTACATTTGATGTTCAGTTTGACACGTTTTTGGCACTTGTCGAACATAACTTATTCTAAAACATGAAATATTGACAGTATGAAATTCTTGAAAAAGACAACACCGGTAACAAAATTTAGGTTATCAATTGTTGGGGAAAATGTAAAATGAAAAATGGAACGATTGTGAAGAATGATGAGTTATTATTCCCTACATTACATACATTTGTGTTTTCATTTCTAGAGATCTAGCGGGGAGTACAACAGAACCTTCGACCACGGATTGTAAGTATTATTTCAAAATACATTTACACTATATCAACAAAAATAATAGTTATAGTTCATAAACAGTAATATCAATAACACAAGAACGTTATCTGATCATTAACTGTTTGGGTCTCTACGTCAAACTGATTGAATAATCGAGGACCAATTAGCACGTAAAATAATGACGGGAAATCCCAAATTTTATGAAAACGTTCGCCGCTTGACGAAACTTGTAACCATAGAAAGCACGATCTTGTTCCCGCAAAAACGTCTGTTCTGCCATTGATGATTGATGACGACATCACAAATAACAATAAAATGATATTGTCTTTGATTGATTTTTACATTTGTTTTGTCTAAAATCTAAGGATTGAATGCATCTATTAACATTTACGATGGCAGCAATACAATGCCGTCCATATATGCATTCAATATGTTTAAACAAAACTATGTTGAATACCATGATAAACGTTATAAAGATTCCATTCATACCTTAAACAAATGAAATTTGTGTTAAGGATCCCCGTCCCTATGCAAAAATCTGTTTTCAAATGAGACTTTTTCCCCTTAGAGTTTTGATAAATCATTCATATTTTTTTTTATCGCGAAACTCTAACGAAAAAATAATAAAAAGAAATTAAAAAATATCCGTGATCAGGGAACAAAAATGCAACTGGATGAGACCTGGATTCGATGCCTAGTCGCTTGAATCAACTGAGTTGCCTAGGCAACGGCAGAACATCGGCTTATTCACGTTACAGTTATATCAATAACAAAATTAAGGGGCGGTAACTTAACATATAGTGTTTCTTCTCGATTAGAAAAGGATAATTGTTTAATCAATACAAATACTTTGATACAGCCATGCTTTGTCAAGCCAGTCACAACTATTAAGTAATAGTCTATGTAACTGTAAATGTGTAGATACAGTATTGATAATATTCAGTAATGCATGCTACATACAATGTAACATTAAATATTATATAATATTTGTTACTTTGCGAGATACAGTATGAAAGACATTCAGTAATCGTAGCCTATGTAAGTGACAGTATGACATGCTATGGTCATTAAGTTAAGTAAGACATACGAACATGTTCGTTTTCGCAACAAATAAATAAGGAAACAGCAATTTGAGAAACTGTGAATGCATTGCAGAGGCTATCGTTTAATGATATTGTAACATATCGAACGCTGACCTCACTGTGATTAACACAATTTATTTTGACTATTTTTAGAGAAACCAACCGCATGAGTATGAAGGAGGACTATGATAGGCTGGACGAGTATGACCGCGTAAATGAACCGGAACCAGATTATGATACAACACGAATTTAGCAATATGTCGGTATTTTAACAAATTTGTTCATTTTTTAAACAACCTATATACCTTAATAGTTCACGGAACCTTCATATGAATAGTACATGGCTTTATGCTGTTTTCACATTATATCCGTGTTGTCGTTAACTCTGAGGATTTAAGCATTTTTAAATCTCATTAATTCACACATACATTCGTCACTTTCCTTCTCAAATCCAACGGTGTCACGTCTATATGATAGATTTTACAGCTTTGTATGTGTGCAACTCTTTTGCAAAGAAGGTAAAAATGATATCCTCAGTGGAAATAATTGTGACATATTATGTTTAAAACTTACTCAGAGCCGCGTCAAAGGACTGTTCCGTTAGTATTCCGTTTGGGAACTCCGCTAATTTAAAGCTAAATTAGAAGTTCTTAGTTACCATATTTTCTTTACAAGTTAAATGTTTTATTGTCGAAAAGAGGTGGTAGTGTTTCCTCAAGTATGTTAATGTCAAGACTATATGTTCACGTTATGCAGATTTGTGAAGATTTATAATTTATGTATTAATGTAGAATACGTAGTTTCTTTATCATATGTTTACAGAAAGGGAGAACAAGCGTATTTTTTATCATGTAACTAATTTTAATATATTATGTCTTTTCATTTTACTGTATATGTGAAATTGTTGCGTAAAATGTCACTTATGTACAAAGATAAATGCTACGTAATAACACACTATGAAATATGTATATTAGTTTATCAGTCCGAATACGAAGTAAGACATTATCTTATGCTCGTGTTTCAGTCTGAATGCGAAGACATTATCTTATGCTCGTGTTTCAGTCTGAATGTTACGAAAACGACAAATCGTTTATTTGTCTTTAATCGAAATGATATGAAATGACACAATCATTTAGAAGCCCAGGTTACATGGAGCTTGATTTCTTATATATACTATATAACTGATAAAATATTACCAAGGAATATTATCAAAATTTTAGTAGTTCACATGGAAACTTGCTTCTCCACAGCTAGTACAAATGAAACCGAACCTCGAATGACCTAGTTTCATAATTAAAAGTTAAACTGTTTATACTTTCGTAACATTAAGTGCTGTTACAAAAGTAATTAACATGTTATAATATCTGGTGACAATTGTTTACGAGTTTATCACTCTAATGTATTATTGGTGGCCAAGGCCGCGTCGCTGTATTTTAATAACGTAGTGCATATTTGATATATCCTTTATATATGTATGACTTGATCCGGTGTTGAAATTAATACTTTGTATTAATCTCACTCATTATTTTTTTAATGGAATTAGAACTCATGATTATGTGTTATCCGAGGTCATAGTAATAGCCAGCAATTAATGCTTAACGCACATACACTTTGTTGCATAATATACATTGTTAAATATGTGTATTTTGGAGAATGTATCATCTTTCCATTTCCATCATATGCCTTTGTAAATTCATTGTTCGTTTTACGTTTCATATAAATGTAGTTTCAACGTTAGTTCGTTTGTGTTTTTTCGTTTATATAATAATAAAATACAGAAAATATTGTTTGAACTTAAGTAATAAATACGACAAAGATTTAGAACTACAAGAACATAATTATGTGTCTTTTTGCCTAAAATGAGTGTGAACTTAAACCATAATACCTTGATCGACGATCATCAAAATGTACACAGTGTGTACACATAGAGAAGGTGCGTAAATTCCCATAACTTATAAATTACAAAACAAGACAAATAATTTATGAATTATTTTTATATCAAATTTAATATACAATTTTCGTAGTAGGTACAAAATATACGAAACAGTGAAATGAATTACGACTTGAATCACCTATATAAAAACAAAAACTGACAATAGTTACTAGTTTTACAGATGTCATCAACAAAACTGTAATGAATGCATTAAATATGTATCTAAATAATACGAGAAGCTTATAAATAATCAAAACAATCTCAAAATTAAATTTAAAATACTACTACATGTTATGATAATAAACGAACTTTATATATCCATTTGTTATTACATGTATTGATAGCATGCCGCTACACTCAACTTTCATGCATGTGTTCTGAAAGCAGCGCATCTCAAGCAAATCACTGCCGCACTGTCGGTTATAGACCAGCTTCAATGATCACATCTAATGAGAATAGATTGGTGTAGTAAAGATGCCACCACATCATATAATTTTCCAAAAACAAATCGTACAATTCTATCTGTGTACTAACTAGTATATGGCTGAGGTGCTTAAAAAGCATCGGCCTGGGACATGGACAAATGTAAATAATTTATCGTAATGTACTTTTAAAACACTAACCACCATTGTTTTGCCATTTCTAAGCGGAATTTTGTTATACCAAATAACAGAAAGCTTACAGGTTCGTTTTAAAATAATCAATATTATCTATGTTTATCAGGGTATCAGTGTGTAGGAAGTTACTCTTCAGAAAGATAACTAGCAGTTCACACATTGTACAATGTACCCGGCAATGTCAGCTTATAGTGCACTACGTGTTTAGATAGCCTAACTCCCTGATTAAACAGATAGTTTATGAAATACATAGACAGGTATCATATATAGTTTCTTTTGGCATTCAGTACTATGGCACACTTGTAGATAAAACACATATAGTACCAACACATATATAATAAATTAATTTGACATGTAAGTGATGAATGTCCGATTCCGTTAAAAATATAAAACAGATGCCACAAACGTGATAAAAATTACACTACAAAATTCTTGCTTTGATATATTAAACAAAGCAACATTACACCTTCAAGATAGTTTATCGCTGATTGTCGGTTCAACAAGCATTGTATTTTCTTTTTCCTTGTTCTCGTGTATTAAAATGACTAAATATAACATACAAAAAGTACGATATATGAAATTATCTTAATACATTCTCATATATTTCAAATCCCATCCAGATAGATATGCTTATCAAAGCATTGGAATTTCTTTGTTTGGTACAGGACGGGATTTCTTTCAAGTAAAGGCATCGCAGGTTTAACCTTGTGCTTCAACATGTAGTCTATTCAAAAATACACAACTCTGAGTTACCTTTTATGCAATAGACTGAACCACACTGATGGTGTATGGTGTACGGCGTGAATATAAACTCATCATGGGAACAGCCCATGTCAAGACTGTTTCCATAATGAATTTCGGTGTAGATATGATGTTATTCTTCTGATATTTTTCTTTTGAATTTTCATTCCAAAGTGGTATTTATGGATTATTTAGAACATCTCTGATACTGGAAAAAAAATCATAATGCAAAATATATATTTCAAACAGTGAAATATTCTCAAAAATCAGTGGTAAAGCATCTTTAGCAATATGCTAATGTTCTACAGGAAAAAGCACCAATATGAAAACATCTTCCAGTATCATACCACTATATGGCAATTTTATGTTTCCATAAACACTAAACTAACAAAACGACAGGTCTGACTGATAATACAATTTGTTATCCTTAACAACACCAAACAAGCAGGTTTCACCTCACTCATCACGAAACTTTTGTAACAAGATTCATAAGACCAACTCAGGATCGATTTTATTACATACTTCATGCACTTATACTTCGAATAGATATATATGTATGTTGCCATCTTCAAATCAATATCAGCATTTATTATGACGATACATTTCTCTCATTCTTGTGGGTATATGACAGGATAAAAAGGGGAATTAGGAATGTTCTATCTTGCCCCCAACGTGATGTCACAATAACGGAACAACAATAACAGGACGTCAACAAATCGGGCACATTCTGATACTGCAATGCAGAAAGTTTGATACCTTCATGTGTGTTCAGAGCTAATTCTGGTAATTGAACTTAGAGAAAAAATACTTTTCCATCCCCACGGGTAAATAATAAGAAAATGCCTTTTCAAATTGGTGCAAACCCCTCAGCAAGCCTCTAGTTTTATCCAATTTGAAAACCCCTTTGGAGGAATTGCCCTAACCTACACCCATCGACATGAAATAATCTTATAGTGAAACACAGCAGTATCAATTAATAAAATTTGTCATGTTTGAATTACATTTCATTATATGTAAAAGGTATAAAATGAAGATATTAATTGCAGTGCAAGCAAATTACGAAAATATATGTTACATTAAATATTATACATGATAAATGTCAAGAATATTTGTCATTACACTAGAAAAGTCCAGAATTAAAAACCAGATTTGATTTTTTTAAAGTATATCTATTAATTGACTAGTTTAATATAAAAATACACCAAGAAGATATATCCTCATTTTGTTTTATGTTTGCATTAGGTAGAAAAATGAATCTCCAGTTTGTTTTGTTTTCTTATTAGTTCAGAAAATCGCATTACAACTTATTACAGATATGAACCACTCTCTGGGAAAGAAGATGCAAAAAATGATCAATTTGTAGAATGGAACAGTAGGCATTGAAAAACATGATATGATCATGACTGGCAGTCGTGTCTCTTTAAATAGCATCGGACCATTTGGAGGCTATTGAACAGGTGGTTGTCTTACCGAGGGTGGGTTTTTATATAGGTATGGCGTCGTCCGAACGCTTTTACTTTTAAAAAGCATTAACTGGCTAAGATATTTACTTCCTATTTTGTTTTACTGGTACTATTTTGACTGTTCAGGCGAGGATCCTTATTTTTGTAGTACAGTTGTATATATATCTGCTGGTAGGTCTACATCCAAGGATTCTGTGATTCTAAGGATGACTTCGGTTGCAAGGTTCTGTAATTGAGATATTATTTGTCAGACATCATTTCGCCAGACACAATGTTAAATTTGCTGTGGAAATTATTAAGCTAAGGAATCATAGTTATAATTCGACGGAACGGATACTTGTATTCATATTACCAAGAGTAATTTCAATTTGTAGAATGGATGAGTATGATCTATGATAAAAGTGGGACTTACACCTAATCAAGGTATATAAGCACATCCTTAGGAAACTGTTGACACATAAAGTATAGGTCCTTGAGCATTATGTACCAAGCCTTATAAAACATAACATCACCAATTTAAGTCAAATTGAGTAAAGGGCTATTTATTATATCAAACGATTTGTTCTGTATGGCTATTTATTATATCAAACGATTTGTTATGTATCAAAACTATTTAGGCTTTCATACTGGATACTCACCTACCAATAACATCCTTTTTGTAGGTCGCCCTAAAAGTACTACAAACAAACTTTGCATAATTAAAACAAAATTTAATAAAAAAAATGGCGGGAAAATAACAAGATTTTATTGTATATCGTGACACTCCTTTAGTAAACAGGAAGTTGACCATCCGCCATATTTGTTTGATTGCTACACTGACAAAATTTCATATCCTGGATTTGTCACTGTTCAGAAGACTGAGGTTTGATGGATGACCTTATTTCCTTTCACTAAATATTTTTCGTTTGCTCTATCATGCAAATGTCAACTTTCAACTATTATGCTAGAAAAAAAGCACCATGACATCAATAAATATACATGAACAATGTATATAGACAACAACAAAAAACATCAGGCATTCTCATTGTCATGATATTGAATAAAAAAAGTAAGCACCTTACCTTTCTAACCAAACTTAACATTGGAATTATAAATAAAAATACCCAATTCCTAAAAACATCAAGAAGACTGACTATGGTCTGAACATTTGGTCTACAAAGACATATTACATGTAAGTTAATTTAATTTTACAAGATCGAAATTGGAGGTAATTTCCCAACAAGTCTGGGATAAGCTTTCAAACGTAAAAAAGAAATTTGTTTCAATGAGGTAAAATTGGTTTTCTCTTCTAGCTGTTGAATACATCTGATTAAAAACAGATCTTTTGTTGGAGTGGAATAACAGATCTGGTTTTATAAGATTGTTGTTGAATATTACCCAAATCACTCTTGTAATTGAACACACTAGCGTAATATGTGCACTGCTTTATACAAAATATTTTAGTAAATATTTGTTTTTGATGACCTTATATTGAACACTTATATGACATTTAATTTCTGTGAGTGAGGAAGTATACTTCTAGCTTTATCAACCATATAACCACTCGTTAACAAATAACGTATTTGACATTTGACCTTGATGTGACGGTCACAGTGACCTAATCAATGTACAATTGTTTTCACTGCTGCCGTTGATACTGGCACACTTCAAGTTCCATCAACATATATTTAATGGTTTAAAAAAGTTAAGGCCTAGGGAGTTTTCTCCCGAAAATTGAGGACTTATTTAACCTTAGACTTTAAGGTTAAATTACAGTGTCCATATTATGACACAAGGTACACCTCTTGTGTGTGATTAATGTAATTTCAGCAAAGTATCATGAATGGTTAGGAATGATGGTTATGATAAAAAGAATTGAAACGAAAAATTAACCAGTAATTGTCCCTGCATTGGAAGGGGACACATAATGAATGTATTTGTCAACTAATAAAAATCATTGATGGATTTCATTATCAATAATCTTCAGAAGATTATTGTATGTAAACATAGACATCAGATTTTGATCATCAGTCAACATGTTTCCTTGTACACCACTCAACAGGATTCAAACTCATAAGTGTTCTGAAGAAAACATACACACAATAAAAAGCATGGCCTGATGGCTTCAAGCGTCAGAAAAGGCCTTTTCAATATCACTCAGTGGATTTCAATTTGTAAGTGGGGAGTGGGTAAATATCCAACAGCCTGATTCTCTTAAGACTCATACAGCTGAATTAAAAAAATACTTTGATTGAGCTTAGAAAGACAAGTGGTAGACACAATAAACATATCAACTTTCACATCTGCATCAAATTTACGATGTATTTATTTCACAATATGATGCTTAAATCATGTATTTCACACTGGCAAGTGTTTACAGTCTGCTAATTGTGTCGAAATCATGAAAATAATAGTCTCAGAAAACATAACTGTTATACAACATTTTTTACAGATACCTTCATGATTCTGTCTTTCTCTTCTTTTTTATATACGTGGCAGAATAATACAAAAAAGTTCTGCAATAAGAATGAACTCATAGAACGCAGATATCAAATCAGGAAGCTAACATTTAGTTGAACAACCTTCACCTACCATACTATGTACAGTATGTAGTTCTTTTGATTAAAGAAAATGTGACATATAGTTGTTGATGAATATTTTGACTACCAGGTACATATCATAGTACAAAAAAAATGTTGTGATTATTTTTTTGAAAATAGTCTCATCTACCATAAAATGTTTGTAGTTCTTTTGAAAAAATGAAATGTGACTTATGAATGTTTTGACTACACATTCCGTGTCATGGTACAGGTAAATCATGGGATGCTTTTTTGAAAAAATCTCTTCTTTTAGCCATATAGGGAATTATAATCGAGTGTTCTGCTCTTGAAATACATATCTTACAACCCTTTGAATGTATCATGTCATTCCCATTTTAAATTACAGAAGAGCTGCACCCAACGTCAAAGCCTGTGCATTAACAGGCCTTACATGCTGTCACGGGATTCCTTTGATCTGCGATTCATTCCATCTTTATCAAAGCCAGACTGGTTTACTTTTATCATCTGCAGGGTGTCAAAAAATAGCCTTTTATCTTTTTTTTAGACATATTCCAAGGGTGTATAGAAGAAATTCATATCGAGAGCAGAGTCCTTCAAGTTAAAACACAAAACCACTGTCTCCTATATCAAAATGTCTGTAGGCTATACAGCCATGTTAAAATTCATAACAGAAAGTACAGCATGGTTACATGGTTTGAACATCCTGAAAATCATCGGGAATCCATCTTAGAATTAACGACAAACAGTGTTCATATATCACTCGACCTCTTTCAAAGGCAATAAACAAAAGGTTCGTTAGATAAAATATTATGAATTATGATATAATTATATCATGTAGTTACAGGCTAGCACCTTATCACATCATCATGCATACTTTACTTTTTTATTTTTAAGAGTGTGATTGTTCTCCGTTACTCTATGTTTCACTGATGGTCGTGGAAATTCGGCTGCTCTTTCAATTAACTACAACACCAAATATCAAACTGAATTTAAAACATGAATAGAAAATTTTATCTTTTGCTTTAAAAGTGTAAGATTGTAGATTTCGCTTAATATCACTTAAATTAAAGTGTCCAAATCAATGACTACATAAACTCTACAATATTATGTACAAGTGTCTCTCAAAGAGTATAAATAGCGTATACAATCAGTTTGTCATCTTACAGGACACATGTTTGACTCCCATCTTAATTATTATGAGTAATGTGAAGGATATTTCTTTGTTTGCAGAGTGCGATTCTGAACAGTTCAATGGTTGTATCAGATGAGTATGGAGTATTTAAAAATCTGCGCTACTTTATATCAATATCATGGCAGTCCAAATTCAGTCACTCCAGCAAAATGTCTAACACAGCATTTCCTGATTGTAAGGGATAAATCTTATTGGCGATGATTATAGTAATGTACTTCAGTGGTTTTTAACCTATCAATGATAATATCTTAACCTATCGACAATAATATCTTAAGCTATCAACGTTATATCTTAACCTATCAATGATAATATCTGAACCTATCGACGTTAATGTCTTAACCTATCAACGTTAATATCTTAACCTATCGACAATAATATCTTAACCTATCAACATTAATATCTTAACCTATCGACAATAATATCTTAACCTATCAACGTTAATATCTTAACCTATCGACAATAATATCTTAACCCATCAACGTTAATATCTTAACCTATCAACGTTATATCTTAACCTATCAATGATAATATCTGAACCTATCGACGTTAATGTCTTAACCTATCAACGTTAATATCTTAACCTATCGACAATAATATCTTAACCTATCAACATTAATATCTTAACATATCGACAATAATATCTTAACCTATCAACATTAATATCTTAACCTATCGACAATAATATCTTAACCTATCAACGTTAATATCTTAACCTATCAACAATAATATCTTAACCTATCAACGTTAATATCTTAACCTATCAACGATAATATCTTAACCCATCAACGTTAATATCTTAACCTATCAACAATAATATCTTAACCTATCAACGTTAATATCTTAACCTATCAACAATAATATCTTAACCTATCAACGTTAATATCTTAACCTATCAACGTTATATCTTAACCCATCAACGTTAATATCTTAATCTATCAACGATAATATCTTAACCCATAACGTTAATATCTTAACCTATCAACGTTATATCTTAACCTATCAATGATAATATCTTAACAAATCAACATTAATATCTTAACCTATCTACGATAATATTTTAACCTAATGTTAATATCTTAACCTATCGACATTAATATCTTAACCTATCAACATTAATATCTTAACCTATTGACGTTAATGATAGATTCCTGTACAGTTCTTACCTTTGCTGGTTGTAAAACTCCAATGATAAACAAAAGGAAAATATTGAGCACTGCAGCAATGACAAACAGCTTCCCTGCTAGAGGACCACACTGGTAATAACTGAAAAGTTAAACAAGTCAAACAGTCCAATGCACAATAAAGTCTGTAGTATATATAACAAAGAGGGCAATAGTCTGTAGGATATAACAAAGAGGACAATAGTCTGTAGTATATAACAAAGAGGACCATAGTCTGTAGTATATAACAAAGACGACAATAGTCTGTAGTATATATCAAAGAGGAAAATAGTCTGTAGTATATAACAAAGACGACAATAGTCTGTAGTATATATCAAAGAGGACAGTAGTCTGTAGTATATAACAAAGATGACAATAGTCTGTAGTATATAACTCTTAACCTATCAACGTTAATATCTTAACCTATCGACAATAATATCTTAACCTATCAACGTTATATCTTAACCTATCAATGATAATATCTTAACAAATCAACATTAATATCTTAACCTATTGACGTTAATGATAGATTCCTGTACAGTTCTTACCTTTGCTGGTTGTAAAACTCCAATGATAAACAAAAGGAAAATATTGAGCACTGCAGCAATGACAAACAGCTTCCCTGCTAGAGGACCACACTGGTAATAACTGAAAAGTTAAACAAGTCAAACAGTCCAATGCACAATAAAGTCTGTAGTATATATAACAAAGAGGGCAATAGTCTGCAGGATATAACAAAGAGGACAATAGTCTTTAGTAAATAACAAAGAGGACAATAGTCTGTAGAAGATAACAAAGAGGGCAATAGTCTGCAGGATATAACAAAGAGGACAATAGTCTGTTGTAGATATCAAAGAGGACAATAGTCTGTAATATATATCAAAGAGGACAATAGTCTGGAGTATATAACAAAGAGAACAATAGTCTGTAGTATATATCAAAGAGGACAAGAGTCTGTAGTATATAACAAAGAGGAAATATCTTAACCTATCAACATTAATATCTTAACCTATTGACGTTAATGATAGATTCCTGTACAGTTCTTACCTTTGCTGGTTGTAAAACTCCAATGATAAACAAAAGGAAAATATTGAGCACTGCAGCAATGACAAACAGCTTCCCTGCTAGAGGACCACACTGGTAATAACTTAAAAGTTAAACAAGTCAAACAGTCCAATGCACAATAAAGTCTGTAGTATATATAACAAAGAGGGCAATAGTCTGCAGGATATAACAAAGAGGACAATAGTCTGTAGGATATAACAAAGAGGAAAATAGTCTGTAGTATATAACAAAGACGACAATAGTCTGTAGTATATATCAAAGAGGAAAATAGTCTGTAGTATATATCAAAGAGGACAATAGTCTGTAGTATATAACAAAGAGGACAATAGTCTGTAGTAAATAACAAAGAGGACAATAGTCTGTAGTTTATAACAAAGAGGACAATAGTCTGTAGTATATAACAAAGAGGACTAATTTTTATGAATCTCAATGTGGTGGGGCGCAAAAACATAAAAGGCATTTTTTCCCCCTTTAAATCATACAAGATTTAATTTTCAGTTAGTTATTATGGTAAGATATGCATAACAATTATTTTGACAAGGAAATCTCATCAGCATCCAATGACAGAATTCTATCTTGTTCAGCTTGTCGGGAATGGCATCATCCCCGAAATCACAATCAAAGGATACAGTTCCTTTAGTGACGTCACATCTTATCATAGTATCAGGACAAACACTGAGCTGCAGTCTAACTATGCTTTCTGTCAGCCAGGGTAATAAAGGTAGAGTTAACTTGAGTGGTTATAAGACACTATCATGCCCAAGGGTGTAGGATAGGGAAATTCCATCTGAGGGATTTTCAAATTTAGTAAAACCAGAGGCTTTGCCGAGGGTTTTGCCAAATTTGTAAATCCCGAGGGTGGAATTTCCCTATCCTACACCCTTGGGCATGAAAGAGTATTTTTCTCTCATTCCAATCACCAGAATAAGCTCAGAAACCATGAAAATGCGTTTGGACTGGCCACCATTTTGAAAATATCATTTTTTTCCCGAGCTTTTTAACAAATTAGCCAGTCAGATTAAGCATACCCCATATTGGCAAACAATGTTTGCGCAGAAAAATTAATCACATCTTTCTAACATGTACGGTAAATATAAAATAATAAGTTATAATTTCATCACGTCGCCTTTTCCGCATTGCAGCATCGGAGAGTTCTGAATTTGTGACGTCACATCAGGTGAAATGGGGTATAAGATAGAAATTTCCTACACCCCTTTCTTACCCTGGACAGCTCTATCTTTCACACAGGGAAATGAGAGAAAATAGATTTATTGGTAAAGAGCAATTGACTAGGTGAATCTTTTGGTCAATTATATCTGTTTAGAGATCTGAAAAACTGATACAGAGTGATTTTAGTCAAGGGTTCATACGTTCTACCCATCTTAACAAACACGTTTACAGAGTGATGTTACATCGTACCCATCCTCCATATCCAGGGATTACGCTCACTTTCTCTCTCTGCACCCCTGGAATATGTATCGAGAATGCGTCGTACCTTTACTACAATAAATCAGCATCAATCATCAACAGGTAATAGATACCATCATTCTTACCTTTTGAGTCTAGTAGACGTTTCTCTTTGTTCTTCTAAACAAACCATATCATATACTCTCTCTGTCCGCATGGCCACGTTCCTCCAGGTATATAGTGACATGATTCTTCTGTGAGCTTCAAATGGTGGTACTTCCCTCCCTTGACGACGATCTTCAATAGCGCGCTCAACAGACTCCAGTAAGCCTTAACAAATATTTATAAATCTATGTATATAAACAGGGACTGGAGGATATATCTTATTGGTGACACAAGTTAAGAACTGACAATCTCACGGCCAGGTAAACTAGAACTGTATCACAGGTAAGAACTGACACTCATGGCCAGGTAAACTAGAACTGAATCACAGGTAAGAACTGACACTCTCATGGACAGGTAAACTAGAACTGTATCACAGGTAAGAACTGACACTCTCATGGACAGGTAAACTAGAACTGTATCACAGGTAAGAACCGACACTCTCATGGCCAGGTAAACTAGAACTGTATCACAGGTAAGAACTGACACTCTCATGGCCAGGTAAACTAGAACTGTATCACAGGTAAGAACTGACACTCTCGTGGCCAGGTAAACTAGAACTGTATCACAGGTAAGAAATGACACTCTCGTGGCCAGGTAAACTAGAACTGTATCACAGGTAAGAACTGACACTCTCGTGGCCAGGTAAACTAGAACTGTATCACAGGTAAGAACCGACACTCTCATGGCCAGGTAAACTAGAAATGTATCACAGATAAGAACTGACTCTCCCATGGCCAGGTAAACTAGAACTGTATCACAGGTAAGAACTGACACTCTCGTGGCCAGGTAAACTAGAACTGTATCACAGGTAAGAACTGACACTCTCATGGACAGGTAAACTAGAACTGTATCACAGGCAAAAACAGTTTCTTATAATTTTATTTCAAAGAAAATCAAACACTTTTTTATGTTTCAAGTTTAAATGTTTATTTATTCATTGCATGTTTTTGACAAAAAAACACCAGAAGCTTGGTTTGTTTTATATATCTGTATATATTTTTCTGTATATCACCCTTATTTGACCAAATGACCAACACATAATCATAAAATGTTTGATGAATGTAGGTGAAATAGCAAGGGACAAATTTGGTTATATTAATTAGGTGGGTCAAAAAAACAAAATAGTAATATGTTTGCTACTCTCAGCCTAGATACAGCCTTATATAACATAATCTATATCCTGTTAAGGAAGTTACAAACTAATTCTAGTGAATGAACAAGGGCCATAATTTTGAAATGCAAACCTATTTTAGCTATATTAATATGAAATATTTATACTGAGTACATTTTTGTAATGAAAGGCAGGAGAGTGATAAAAAAGAAAATGTTACTGACAGATAGCCCAGGGTATATCTATACCATTATACATACATATATAAACCAACACAGACTAGCACATAAAGACATGTCAGTGAACCCTATTCCTCCTGTTGTGCTTCACCCCTCTGTCCCCAGGAAGCTACAGGGAATGGGGGAGGAGGGAGCACAACATTTCTTTATAGAAATCTGAATTATTCTGGCCCAGAATAATTTAATTTAGTTGGGTTAATGGCCATGTCAATATTATATGCAATATTTGGTGACTTTTGATCCAAACTTCATAAAACTGTGTTTGCCATTGTCCTTTCTAAGTAAGATTGTCTTAAGAAAAAGAGCATTAGCAAGGATGGAGGACAGTGGACAAATGTTGGGTGATGAATAACAGAAGAAATGCATCTGATGAGCTAAAAATAGCTGGTGGGCTAGAAATATTTAATTTTAGGTTACCGAGTCTAAATGGGACCGGGGTACACTTACTTGATATTGTGGGTTCAGCCATGTAGATAAGGTCGGGAGGCAACACTTCTGGGACACCACCGACTCTCGTAGTGACAACTTGTAATCTGACATTCAATAAAGCAAGCGTTATACACCTCACAAATGCATTATAATTTAGGGGTCATTCAGAACAAGAGGCCCAAGGGCCTTAGCGGTCACCTGAGTTATATCATAGATACTGGTAGCTTTATTTTATTGTTTAGATGTGATGTGGAAATCAGCATGTAAACTAAGTGAAATACAATACTTGTCATGTCATCAATGGATAAGAATTTGAAAATATTGGTAAATGTTCCCTTTGGGGCCCCGCCCTAGCCCCTGGGGATGGGGCAGGAATCCTAATTTTACAAAGTAAAACTCTCATTTACCCAAGATGATTCTGACTAAGTTTGAGCAATTTTCTGCTGAAAATGGATAAAATATATACCGAAAAGTGTTATTTCCCTATATAAACTATAT